ATACCCTATTCTCCATGATGTGATTATTTTGCATTGCCTGCCTTTATCAAAACATCTTATGTACCCTGTAAATATATACACATACTATGTACCCCCAAAAAATTTTTTTAAACTTTAAAAAGGAAATAAGCATAGGAAGAAAGGAAGGAAGAAAGGAAAGGAAAGGAAAGGAGGAAAAAAGAAGGAAGGAAGGAAGGAAGGAAGGGAGGGAGGGAGGGAGGGAGGGAGGGAGGGAGGGTTTCAAGACTCTTTTGACCCACGTTCCCAAAAATTGAAGACTGAAAATAATTAAGAATTCTGCTACTATCACACTTCTGTCTGAAGCTTGGCTGAACTCAGAATTCTTATTGTTCCCTCATATTCCTTTCTATACAGAAATTACATCACTAGGTAATCCTGTTATGTTTGGTTTATTTTTACATTTATATATTTTATTTTTAATAAAGTAAATATTATTTTTTGCTCTCTTTTCCAATTAAGTGAAAGTGTTCCTTAAATTATTTATCTTATTCTGTGCTAGAAAACATAGGCGTTTTAAATTTTCCCTTATTAAATACCAAAAAATCCAGCACTTTGGGACACCGAGGCAGGCGGATCACAGGTCAGGAGATTGAAACCATCCTGGCGAACATGGTGAAACCCTGTCCCTACTAAAAATACAAAAATTAGCTGGGTGTGATGGCACGCGCCTGTAGTCCCAGCTACTCTGGAGGGTGAGGCAGGAGGATCCCGTGAACCCGGGAGGTGGAGGTTGCAGTGAGCAGAGATCGCGCCACTGCACTCCAGCCTGGCAACAGAACAAGACTCCATCTAAAAATAAATAAATAAATAAAAACCAAAAACTACCTCTTAGGCTAAGGCCAGATCACTGCTCTTTTCTTCTGGGAACTCAACCTAGTTTCTTTTTAAAAATGCCTTCAACACCACCCACTTTCACCACTGTTATTCAACATACTACTGGAAGTCCTAGCTAGAGCAATCAGACAAGAGAAATAAATAAAGGGCATCCAAATTGGAACAGAAGCTGAATTATCCTTGTTTGCAGATAATTATAATCTTATATTTGGAAAAACCTAAAGACTCCACCAGAAAACTATTAGAACTGATAAACAAATTCACTAAAGTTTCAGGATAAAAAATCAACATATAAAAATCAGTAGCATTTCAATATACCAAAAGTGAACAATCTGAAAAATAACAAAAGTAATCCCAATTAAAAGAGCCACAAATAAAATTAAATATCTAGGAATTAAACAAAGAAGTGAAGGATCTCTGCAATGAAAACTATAAAACATTGATGAAAGAAATTTAGAGGACACACAAAAAAATGAAGAGATTCCAAGTTAATGGATTAGAACAATCATATTGTTAGAATGTTCATACTACCTACCCAAAGAAATATGCAGATTCAATGCAATCTCTATCAGAATACTAATGACATTCTTCGCAGAAATATAAATAACAATCCTAAAATTTATATGGAATCACAAAAGACACAGAATAACCAAAGCTGTCCTAATAAGCAAAAAGAACAAAACTAGAGGAATCACATTACCTGACTTCAAATTGTACTACAGAGCTATAGTAACCAAACAGCATGGTAGTGGCATAAAATTAGACACACAGATCAATGAATAGAACCCAGAAGCCAGGCTCAGTGGCTCACACCTGTAATCCCAGCACTTTGGGAGGCCAAGGCAGGTGGATCACTTGAGGCCAGGAGTTAGAGACCAACCTGGCCAACATGACGAAACCCGTCTCTACTAAATATACAAAAATTAGCTGGGTGTGATGGTGCACACCTGTAATCCCAGCTACTCAGGAGGTTGAGGCATGAGAATTCTTGAACCCAGGAGGTAGAGGTTGCAGTGAGCCAAGACTGCACCACTGCACTCTAGTCTGGGTGACACAGTGAGATTCTGTCTCCAAAAAAAATTAATAGAAAATAGTAGAGAAGCCAGAAAAAAGTCCACACACCTACAATGAATTCATATTTGACAAAAGTGCCAAGAATATACACTGGAAAAGACAATCTCTTCAATAAATCGTGCTGGGAAAACTGGATATCCATATGCAGAAGAATGAAACTAGACCCCTATCTCTCACCATATACAGAAATCAAATCAAACTGGATTAAAGACTTAACTTTAAGACTCACATTATGAAATTAGTAAAAGAAAACATGGGGGGAAAATCTCCAGGACCTTAGTCTGGGGAAAAATTTCTTGAGTAACACCGCATAAGCACAGGCAACCAAAGCAAAAATGGACAAATGGAATCATATCAAGTTGAAAAGCTTCTGCACAGCAAAGGAAACACTCAACAACATGAGGAAACCCACAGAATTGGAGAAAATATTTGCAACCCACCCCTCTGACCAGGGATTCATAACCAGAATACATCAGGAGCTCAAGCAACACTCTGTAAGAAAAAAAAATCTAATAATTCAATCAAAATATAGGCCAAATGTTTGAATACACATTTCTCAAAAGAAGATGTACAAATGGCAAATGGGCATATGAAAAGGTGCTCAACATCATTGATCATCAGAGAAATGCAAATCAAAACTACAATGAGATATCATCTCACCCCAATTAAAATGGCTTATATCCAAAAAACAGGCAGTAACAAATGCTGGCAAGGATGTGGAGAAAAGGGAACCGTTGTACATTGTTGATGGGAATGTAAATTAGTACAACCACTATGGAGAACAGTTTGGAGGTTCCTCAAAAAACTAAAAAACGAGCTACCATAGGATCCAGCAATCCCACTGCTAGGTATATACCCAAAAGAAAGGAAATCAGTATATTGAAGAGATATCTGTACTCCCGTGTTTATTACAGCACTGTTTACAATAGCTAAGATTTGGAAGCAATGTAAATGTCCATCAATAGATGATTGGATAAAGGAAATGTGGTACATACAAACAATGGAGTACTATTTAGCCATAAAAAAAATGAGATCCAGTCATTTGCAACAACATGGATGGAACTGGAGATCGTTATGTTAAATGAAATAAGCCAGGGTCAGAAAGACAAAAATCCTATGTTCTCACTTATTTGCGGGATCTAACAATTAAAATGGTTAAACTCATGGAGACAGACAGTAGAAGGATGGTTACTAGAGGCTGGGAAGGGTAGGTGGCGGGGGTGGGGAGGATGTTAATGAGTACAAAAAAAAATAGAATAAGACCTTCTATTTGATAACATAATTGTACATTTAAAAATAACTAAAAGAGTATAATTGGATTGTCAGTAACACAAAGGATAAATGCTTGAGGAGATGGATACTCCAATCTCCATGATGTGATTATTATGCATTACATATCAAAAAATCTCATGTACCCTGTAAATATATATACCTCCTATGTACCCACAAAAATTAAAAATTATTAAACAAAATGTGTTCACTGTCATTTTGTTTGTCCTTTAGAAGTCTTCTCCCAAACTAGTTTTATAATCTTCCAACTCTTCCCATTCTTGCTGACTCCAAAAGTAAACACAGGACCATTTTCTTGTCGGCATTATTATGAATTAAAAGAGGATAATGAAAATAATATCCATAAAATCTAAGTTAATAAATCTTGGTTTCTATTTTCGTTTCTGAATTTTCTTGCTAAAAGATTTATTAGAAAAATGATGATGAGGTGGTAGCTTTCATCCAAACTCCCTTCTTCCAGGTAGGTCAGCCAATTTAAATCTAGATGTAATCTCAAGACCTACTAAAACTGTATGTAGTATTTCCACTCCTCAGGAATTCCAGCTGGGGAGGTATGTATCTCACTGGGTCCTTGCCCCAAAAAGTTCCCTCTGAGTTTATTCTTACAACTTGAAATAAAGAATTTTTTAAAAAAAATACTATCTGGCCTGATTTACACTAGGATTTGTGGCCATTTATAAGAACAAAAGAAAAACAAGTAGATAAAAATCAAACTCTGGAAAAATACAAAAAAGATCAAGAATAAGAAATTAGATTAAAATAGAAAAAGAGTAACCACCAGGCTCCGTGGCTCACACCTATAATCCCAAAAACTTTAGGAGGCCAATGCAAGAGGATGGCTTGAGCCCAGGATTTCAAGACCAGCCAGGGAAATGTTGGGAAACCCAATATTTATAAAAAATACAAGAAGAAGAAGAAAAAATTATATTTCACAATTTATTATTTGTCATGATGTGAAGCTTGAATCTTTATATTAAATCTTTTTCCTTTGACAGAAAAATACTAAAACATTAGAATACAGATAAGCAGACAACCAAGCCCACATAATTATTAAAACTGAACTCAATTTTTTTTTTTTTTTTTTTTTTTGAGACGGAGTCTCGCTCTGTCACCCAGGCTGGAGTGCAGGGGTAGGATCTCTGCTCACTGCCACCTCCAGCTCCTGGTTTCAAGCAATTCTCCTGCCTCAGTCTCCCAAGTAGCTGGGATCACAGGTGCCCGCCACTATGACCGGCTAATTTTTTGTATTTTTAGTAGAGACGGGGTTCTGCCCACCTCGGCCTCCCAAAGTGCTGGGATTATAGGTGTAAGCCACCGCACCCAGCCTGAACCCAATTTTAATAGGAGATTTCTCACAACTACAGCAAAAATTTCGGGCAATTCATAATCTGCTTTGTCCATAAGGAAAAGGCAATTTCTCAGGTGAAGCAAAGCTCTTTCTGAAATAAATCTGAATAAAATTTCTTTTGGACAGACTGATGTAATATGCTTCTTCATCTACAAAAATGACATAGCAGACCTCATTCAGTTGTTGTGTGATTTTTAAAAATTAGTGCAGGAAAATGATAAATTATCTCACTTTACATGGCTTAAAGTCTTAAACTTTTGAAAATTCAAGCTAGAGTAAATAAAACAAGAGTTGGCTAAAACTGCTGGTGACACCCAACGTTATCAGCTTCAAACATCAAGATGAGGCCCTAACATTTTCAATGTGGACTTGTAGTAGATACTTAAGCCTAGGTGAATTTTCTAGAAACAAATGGGTAACAAGCACTCTCTCGTATCTCATACATGTTTTTATTATTATAGTTACAGCACTGTAATTTACAGTCTCTAAGATGTGCATTCCACATCTTATTGAGTATGTATTCAATAAGTGTTCACCGAATACTCAATAAGTGTTCACTGAATTAAATAACACCGATGTAAATAAAACCAAAGTCAACAAAATGCTGTATTACAACAGTGAGAGAGCTATTACAGTCCATAACTCCCACCAACAGGGGAGACTAAGAATGTAAAACATGTCCCAGAGCACTGAAGCCTTCCAGATAGCTACCTGATTTTTTCCATTGAAGTATTTAGTCTTACAGCATTTCATGTGCTCCAGAATTAGACCATTCCATAAAGACAGGAATATCTGCACTGGCTAAGCACAAAGCCTAATTCAGTTGACCTTTAAACATGTGGCGGTTAGAGACACCAACCCTCAAGCAGTCAGAAACTCGCATACAACTTTTGACTCCCCAAAACATAACTACTAAAAGCCTACTGTTGACCAGAAGTCTTACTGATAACATAAACAGTTGATTAACACATATTTTGTATATGTATTATATACTGTATTCTTCAATAAAGTAACCAAGGAAATTGTTAAATCATTAGGAAGGAAAAATATATTTACTATTCATTAAGTGGAAGTTGATCATCATAAAGGTCTTCATCCTCATAGTCTTCATATTGAGTAGGCTGAGGAAAAAGAGGAATGGTTGATTTTGCTGTCTTCAACGTGGCAGAGTTGGAAGAAAATCCATGTGTAAGTGCACCCACGCAGTTAAAACCTATGTTGTTCAAGGGTCAACTGCACATTACATACTTAACATTTAAATTATCTGGGCTGGTAAGGATGTGCATTCAGGAAAGTAATTAATAATTTTCTTTTGTTCTTATAAATGGCCACATATATCTAGTGTAAATCACACCAAATAATATTTAAAAAACAAAAAACAAAAAACTTAAAGTTGTAAGAATAAACCCCTGGGGGAACTTTTTGGGGCAAGGACCCAGTGAAATAGATACTTCCCCAACTGGAATTCCTGAGGAGTGGAAATAATACACACAGGTTTAGTGGGTCTTGAATTATCTTGTAATTCAAGGTAAAACTTCTCTGTGACAGTTTCCTAAAGCGAACTGGTTTTGATGAACATCATTCTGTATTACACATACTGCTGTCTTAGTAAATAGTCTACTAAACACAAGCTAAACTTTAGCTAATGACAGAGACATCATGAAGATGCTTTATCATGTTTTTAAAATGTCACCAGAGACTGATGTGCTGTTAAGTTCTATTTGTTCTTTCCCTTCCTAGTGATTCTACCATTATCCAGACTGAGTCCCAGTGTCCCCTTTTCTAATTTTTTTCACAACTTTTGCTTTTTCCCCTTCTTCTTCACTTTTTTTTTCCATCCCTGTCCTTCATTGCCTGTGATAGGAGCGGGGCTTACTTTTCATCACCGTCAGTAGCCAGGGAGGGCATTCTTTTCCTTCTGCTTTTGAAAGATGATCAGTAACAACATATATTCCGTAACCTTGTCTTTTTATTCTAATCAGTGATTTTTGTCATTGGTAACTGTTCTGAACTTCTTCAGTTTTTCCTACATTCTTTGTTCCAGACAACTGAAGGTGCCTGGAGATATACAGGAGAGGGTGAGTACTAAGAAGTCAAAGCGCTTTTTTACTATTACTTTTCTTATATACACACTCACTTTTCTGTTTTCATTTAATTTTCAAAATACTGTGCGGAAACGTCTACTAATGACTTACTAAATAGCTCAGTTCCTACATCGAGTCCTTAAAAGATTCTGGAAAAGAGGTAAGTTGCAGAGCAAAAAAGTATCTCAATCCACTTTTTTTTTTTGCTGTAACAGAATACCTGAGACTGGGCAATTTGTAAAGAAAAGAGATTTATTTTGGCTCACGATTGCAAAGGCTAAGGAGTCGAAGATCAGGCAGGCCATCTGATGAGGGCCTCATGCTGCTTCAACTCATGGTGGAAAGCAGATGGTGAACTGAGGAGGGCAAAGAGAACAGAACACAAGAAGCATCCTCACTTTGTAACAACCCACTCTTGTGAGAATTCATCCATTCCTGCAAGAGTGAATCCATTCCAGAACTGAGCCTCATGAGAAAGCCCTTAATCCATCGCAATGACCTAATCATCTCTTAAAGGCACCACCTACCAACACAATCAAATTGGGGACTCAGGCCTCAGCATGAATCTTGGTGAGGACAAACCATATCCAAACCATAGTAGGAAGTTTAAAAAAGCACGTGGGGAAAGCCTCAGTGGAAACAAAAACTTCTAGACCAGTTACCATTAATGCATGTAATATGCAGAGGCTACATTCTTTTAGGCTATAAGGATCTTTAAAAGTTAATAAACATGCTATCAACGTAGAAAGGCTGAAGTTTCTCTTCCTTTTTAAATGTTTCGCTTTGTCTATTATCCACTATCATTTTAGGAAAGCATTTAATAAAAATAAAACCTTTAACTATTTCTATTGTATAATACAAAAGGTTTTAAGATTATTCTTCTGCCTCAAAGTATATTCACTTTTTAAATACACACACACACACACACACATAAATATATATATATATATTTAATTATAGAGATGAGCTTTCACCATGTTGCCCAGGCTGGCCCTGGGCTCAAAATATCTGCCCGCTTCAGCCCAAAGTGCTGGGATTATTGGCATGAGCCATCGCACCCGGGATCTTCACTCTTACTTATAGCAAAGTAAAGTAATAAATGCTGGAAAACACCCAAGTTCTTTTTGTATGGAATTTGGCTTAAGGAACCCAGTGCTCAACCCACCTTGTAAGTTCATGAAACAGAGCAAAATATGTACCTTAAACCTAGGTTCTGAATCTTTCTGCATATTTTAACATCAGTTCTATTTATGGAATTTGCGTTTGTTTTCCTGGTGTGGAAGAGTATTTGAGGTAGGGTGAAACAAAGGCAGGTTGACATACCTGTGATTAATAAAACACTTTCAAACTAGTCGACTTAATTCATTTCTTCAATCTCATAGTGCACACCCACCAGGTTCTTTAATTATGGAAAGATGGTCTTTCTGCGTCCAGAGAAAACATCTGGTATTATACTGAAAATTTAGTGAAATCTATAAAACACTATTACTTTATGTCATCCAAGAGGGCATGAAAATAATTGTTACAAAAAATATTTTTGTATTTTTGTAATGGGATTTTATCTATAACAATAGTAAAAGCTCACATTTACTGAGTGACCAGTATGTGTCAGATAATTAAGAATTTTACATGGATTGACTTAATCCTCCCAACAACCCTATAAATTAGATGTGATTACCATTAGCCCTGTTTTATAGATGGAAAGTAAGCTTGGGTAATTTAAGCTCATTTCCATTCTACAACAGGATTCAAACATGAGGTGTCAGTTAGCATGCTTAATCTCCATGCTACACTGTGTTCCTGCCTATGTAGAAAGATGAGTATCTACCCACCTATGTAGAAATATGAGTATGCTCCATTCAGGTAAAATCCCATCTCCTGTCAGATTTTTCTCTCTTGCAGCTCATTTAAAATACATTCTGAAAGTATTTGATCATAGATGTAATGCCTTTAAAGTATAGTTTTTGACTTAAAAATTAAATATTTTCCCTATTAACATTTTTAAATTTTTACTCTGTCCAAAAATGAATATATAAAACATTTGAAACATGTTAAAAACAGAATAAGACAAAAATATCATGTTTTAAAGGAACATATCTGGTTAGTTGGTATTCCACTGAACGTATCTTATAACAAACACAAATTTTAATTTTTCATTTAACAACACTAAAGAATGAGGTATATAAATGTTTTAATCACAGACTTTTACTGTATGCAATTGTATTTCACAACTAGCATCTTACAAAAAAGACAGTACCACTGTGCCTGTAAAAAGTACTGTAATTAAACAGAAAATTACATTACCACACGAAACCACCAAATATCACAACTGTTAGGGTCTACAGTTTTATTTTTTCTTCAAATGTTATCATAATGTCTTATGTGATATTTTGTATCCACATTCTATTTTTAAGTCCATTTACAATTCAAAAGTCTCCTATAGGTAGATATATATTAAGCAAATGGTTAAGAGAAAGCAGGAGACCCCAGGAGAATTTAAGTACTGTGTGGTTTCCAGGTTGAAATTCTAAATACTAAATAAAACACTTTAATAGTCATAAACAAAAAGGCAAAATCTGTAGTCATAAAAATATTTTATTGGTAATTTTACATAGTATAAGTGGGGCTATACTTTTTTCCTTTCAGGATACTGAGAAATGTGTAAACTGGTAGTTGTGTCTGAAAATAGGGTACTATGATTTTCATAAGAATTGTTATATTTAGTAAGAGGCCAATTAGACTGATTTAAAATTAGCTATTTCCCATTTCTGTGCAACAATTCCCATTTCTGTTTTAATTAGATTCATGCAGGTATGGCCCTGGATAAGTTTGGGACAAGAAAACAGTGATAAAACTATCATTAAGTTAAAGCTTTTCTAAAATTGCAGCTTGTAAAATATGGCAAGTTTCTTTTCTCGTTTTTGCCAAATGCTTATAATTATTTGAATTTTAATGTTTTATATGATACAGAAAATACCAGTGTTCAATGACAATAGCACTAAACCTGAATTATAAAGCTAAATAATCAATGCTTTATTGTTTACTAGTCTGCTAGTAAACATTACAATAAATGAATGTTTTGAAAAATAAGCAAACAAAAAAACCTCAACAAATGGATAAAGCCAGAAACATAATTCAGGAACAATAATTAGTAAAACGTGTCAAAAACATTGGCAAAGGTTCATACAAATTCTTTATTTAATAACAATTTTCCTATTTAACCACACCAAGTACCAGCAGGTGTATTTAAGAGGATAACCATTAAGAAAAACCTGTTGCAGCAATAGTTAAGTTGATCTTTGACTTGTATACATATAACTATCTGTTTCACAATTTTCAAATAATACATATTTAGGCAGCTTGCACTATGTTATAAAAAATTTAAATTCGTTACATGCCAATAGTAGAGAATTCAAGAATTATGTGTTAGAATTCACTAAACTAAAAGTGAAAATACACTTACCAATAACACTGCATAATGAATAATTCAACCACATTTTCATGGCACTTAACTGCAGAGACCAAAATGTTAAGTCTGGAAATGTTTGGTAGGCATAGTTGAAATAAAATCTAACAAATTCTAACAAATTTCTATTTTATGTAAAACTCAAATTATGAATTGTGCATGAATGTATTTGTCATGAAAATGTGGTACCTCTTGGCATAATCTGTGTATTTGCATGGTAGGACAGAAGTGACTAAGAAACTGGAGAAAATAAACTTTAATGAGATTCTCCATTCAATGATGAGGCTTCTCCTCTGGGTGAAGATGACCTGGACATTCCTCTCTCTGTGTTATCAGAGCTAGAGCCGCTTTGACTGTGTTGATCTGCAGAAGCAGCACTAGATGCAGGTGGTGACTTTGTTTTCTCCTTAAAGTCTGTAATAATGACTGTCAGATCTCCAACGGTAACTTCCAAATGCTGAGCACTACTCCGATCCACATTTTTCAATCTTGGTCTAAACATAAAAAAAATGAAATTTTAACTAGCTTTTCCCTCTACCAAATTTCTGAGCATATAATAAATACTAAAAGTAGGTGAAAGTAACAAAATGAATACACATATTTAAAGCAATTTATGTGTAACCAGCCACAAAAACATCGTAAAATGTTTCAACTCATTAACATTAATCAAACCAATCATTCATGAATATTCTTCAATGCGACCAAAAACTGTGACAGCCTAGAAGTAGAACCTGTGCTTCTATAGCTGTATCATAATTTTGCAGACGGCTTATTAACTTTATTAAAATAGATGTTTTAGACAACAATGAAATAGCTGCACCATGGAGCAAGGTGATAAAAACTAAGGTTGAGCTACATGCAAGGAAGATTGTTACTCCACTGACACACACTAATAAGGGTATCATGATTGTTCTGACTGAACACATGACCATTTTGATAGGTTAAAACCCACGCAATTATCTGTTCGGTATTTTGAAAACCACTCCTGGTTCAAACAGCTCTTCTTAAGGGAAAAACAAAACAAAACAAAACACCCAGATACAATGTCTTCCCATCTAGTACAAAGAAAAAAGCATCACCACATTTAAGCTTGTATTTGTGGCTTCTGTGTTTAATTTCCAATGTATCTTTCAAACTCAGTAAAACCTTTTCTGATACCTTAAAAGAAAGGAAACCAAATATTTTACTTCCACTTTGTGTGTATTAGTATATCAATGGTTAAAAAATTAAATGGTTTTATTATTTCAAAAATGTCATAAAACACTCTTCAAATTTACCTGGTTTTCTTATGGCTATTCTTTTTGCTAGTTGTTTCTTTTTCATTTTTTTCTTTTTCTACTTTATCTTTTTTCTCTTTCTTTGACTGTGTAGGAGGCACAAACTGCTGAGTAACCTGCTGTGCAACCAACTGGGAGACAGGTCGAGGTTTCCTGTGTGCATGTTAAAAAGAAAGGTATTTTAAATTATAACTTAAAACATAAGTGCTTTGTGAGAGAATATCTCACATTATGAAAACAAATTAATAATACAATAACTTTCAAGTATGTATCATTGTTTTTCCTGTTCAACAAAAACAGAACAAACTGTAACAGTTAAAATTTATAGTCTAAGATATATGTTCAAACATTAGAATACTGTTACATAAATCAACATAAGAAATTATTTTAAATGTATATCAAACTAAATGGGATGTACCCATATAAACATGAATTCTAAAAATCAAACTTCAAAGTTTACACTGAAATAATAATTTATCCCTCCTCCTTCAGAGAAGGAAATACCTAACCATTTGTGACAATGGCTATCTGTTTTTTAAAGCTTTTCATTTATTCATTTAATAAACATTTACTATCAAAATTTCTCACTCCTTATTGCTTAAATCCTTTAAGTTTCTTACATCTCCAGCCACAATCTCACTATGCTCTTTTGACCCTGGAAATCTACCCAGTCCTTTGAGACTCATCTACTTGCTAACTTACTCATTTAGAAAGTATTTATTGAGAACCTACTGTAAGAACTGTTCAGGGATATCTGAAATGTTGCCTGGCTTCAACATCTGATGCTGGTACAAGCTTTCACCTGTCCACCTTTACCACAGAACTTGCACAACTGAGGTTAAGATTCAAAATACAGTCTCTAAGTTCTTGAGAGAGAAAGAAGGATACAGCAAGGAAAGAGGCAGAGGGAAGGAGGGAAGAAGTAAGATGAAAATACATTTTAACAGATGGCTCTACAAACAATAGTAACTTTATTGCATGAAAAATCCTGACCCTTTTTTGGTTAGTACAGTTTTTTAAAAATCTTTTTTCCCCCTGTTCCTCTGCAGCAAGACAACATAAAAAATAATGAGAAAATATTGTACAATCTAAGAATCAAAGCTGCCAGGCTGAGAGAAAATAGGAAACAGTATGTAAAGTAGGTTTCAGGAGATGGATAATGAATTTTGCTCAGGGCCTAGATAGTCTGAAGTACTGAAAGGATATCCAGGACAGATGTCCAATATACAACTTAAAAAATAGGACTGACATAGAGTTTGAGATGTAGATTAAGAGTTGCACAAATAAAAGTGATATTGACAGTATGGTAGTTAATGGCTGAGGTTAAAAAAAGAAAAGGGTTAAGGTGGCAGTTTTCAAATTTAAGGTACATCAGAATCACCTAAAAGGCTTAGCTTGCTTAGCCTGCCCTCAGGGTTTCTGATTTAGTAGGCCTTGAAGTAGAGCCCAAGAAACTGTATTTCTAACTAGTTTCCAAGTTATGCTGAGGTCTCTGGGGATCACACTTTAAAAAGAAGCATGAAGAAGTGCAATATATCTGGTGAATACTGGTACTACTATAGGATAAAGTTTGAGATGGAGAGCAGAGTGGTAGAGAGAGTGAAAAAAAACCAAGTTGGATAGATAAGAAGGGATCCCACGATTAAAACCTAAGCAGTCTGATTTTATTCTTAAGTGATGAGAAGTCACTGAAGAAATTCAGACTTGAATTTTACAACAATTACTTGCATTAGTCTGAAATAGAAAGGTACTACACCACAGTAGAAGTAAAAATGTGAGACTAGTGGTCTAATAAGTGATCATGTAATCTCTGTACCTAGTGTTGTTTGTTGTTATTTTCTAACCATCAACAAATTTTCTGTAGTGGTTCTTTTTTTCTGTTCTTGAGTACATCGTTCTCTTTTCATCCTAGGCTTTCCTAAATGTATACTACACAACTATTCCACTTTTATTCTTACTTTAATGTGAAGGTTGATTTTCACTTAAAGATTACGATTTTGTACCTCAATTCTAGGATTATTTCATCTGGTTGAATTTTGAGAGAAAAGAAGCATAAAACATAAATGTAGTTTAACTTTTCAAATAAAGTTTAATTATTCAAATATAGTTTAATTATTCAACTAAAGTTCTCTGCTGCTCTGTAGGGCTAAAGAGCTTTCACTGAAGGTAGGAGGAACACAGTTTATGATGATCTTTTTACAATGTCATAAGTCACTCAACTCCATGTCCTATTAAAAAGAAAGCCCTTCTATCTCCAGGTATCTTAAGGTTTATGATTCCTTTTCTATTTGATGAGAAAAATCAGGATAGGAGGAAATTTTAGAGGTGGGAAATAGTTAACTCAGGAAATAAAGGACAGAGTATCATTTATAAAATATACCTTTTTATGTTCACAGATTTATCATTCATGGTTTTGACAGTACACTTTTAGTAATGCCAAAGGATCCATGATGAGGAGTTGATGTGCACAAAATGGTTGCCTAGTTAATAAATGACTACTGACTAAGCCACTGGCCAACTACAGTCCATCATCTACTTATTAACATATGCCATGATTAGACTGTATTTGTCAGCTATGATATTCACCAATTTGGGGATCCCTATGTATCTTTCATAGACAGCCCAAATAGACTGTATAAAATTTGGCAGTCTATTCATTTACTATAATGTAAGAAAAGGGGGAGCATTTCATTACTTATTAGGACAAAATATTTTTGGGGCTAGCTGACCACCTGTGTGAGCAGGAGGTCAACACATGTTGGCTTCATATATGTAGTTTTCAACTATGGTCTGCCTTCCACCCCCACTGACAAAAATCCCATGTGCTAAATATTATAGGAATAATATTTTAGGCTTGATCAACTTCATCATAATTGAGCTTTGTCATGTTGGACAGGTAAGATGAAAGAAAGGAAAGAAAGACAAAGAATATTAAAAACAAAGACTGATTCTTTACTAAAAAGAGATAGCATAACTCAAATTTCAGAAAGAAGTAATCTGCTTAGTAACACCAAAATATATGGCAAATTGAAGCAACGTGGTAAATCTCATTGAATAAAAAAGGCTGGACTAAATCCAAACCTACTGTGAATCTGCTGATACCCTGGCTAACAAAAGCCCAAAAATCTAACCAAGGAAAGATTTTATAAAAAACCACCTGTTTACGGCCAGGCGTGGTGGCTCACGCCTGTAATCCCAGCACTTTGGGAGGCCAAGGCAGGCAGATCATTTGAGTCCAAGAGTTCGAGGCCAGCCTGGGCAACATAGTGAAACTCCACCTCTGCAAAAAAATACAGAAATTGGCCAAGCATAGTGGTACGTGCCTGTAGGAGGCTGAAGTGGAAAAATCCCTTGAACCCAGGAGGTGGAGGTTGCAGTGAGCCACGATCACACACACCACCGCATTCCAGCCTGGGTGACAGAGTGAGACCCTGTCTTCTGGAACAAAAAAAAGGAAAGAAACTACTTGTCCGACAGATTTTATTGCACATTTACATGTGTCAGGCACTAGGTAAGGTGCTGGAGATTAACCATCAACAAGACAAACACAGGCTCTGCCCTCATGCACTAAAAATTAAAAACAAAAGAACTGTGTGTTGTGTTAGAGAAAACAGAAGGAGGAGTTATTATAGACAGAGAAGAAATAACTTCTGTCCATGTTTAAATGATCAGTATACCAGGGGAAACAAACATCACAATGGACCCTTTTAATAAGAGAACAATGAAACAACTTCATTAAGCATTTTATTAAGACTTTAAAAGAGAGTAAACCCAATTTCTTATTCCATAATAACTTGGTTTTGAAGTTATCTAGACCTCGAATGGCCAAAAGGTGTTTTTTTGTTTGTTTTTGTTTTTTTGAGATAGCATCTCACTCTGTCAGGCTGGAGTGCAGTGGCATGATCTCAGCTCACTGCAAGCTCCGCCTCCTGGGTTCATGCCATTCTCCTGCCTCAGCCTCCCAAGTAGCTGGGACTACAGGCAGCCGCCACCACGCCCGGCTAGTTTTTTGTTTTTTTTGGGTTTTTTTTGTATTTTTAGTAGAGACAGGGTTTCACTGTGTTAGCCAGGATGGTCTCAATCTCCTGATCTTGTGATCTGCCCACCTCAGCCTCCCAAAGTGCTGGGATTGCAGGTGTGAGCCACCGTGCCCGGCCAGGTTTTATTTTTATTTTTCAAATGTAACTAACTCCTCATCAACTGTCAGGCCTAATCCTAGAAACATTCATCTTTTAAGTACTGATTCTTGGTTTTAAATGCTATCTCTCTCTCTCTCTCTCTCTCTCTCTCTCTCTCTCTGTGTGTGAATGAGACAGTCACCCAGGCTGGAGTGTGGTGGCATGATCTTGGCTCAATGCAACATCTGGCCTCCTAGCTTCAAGCGAATCTCCTACCTCAGCCTCCCGAGTAGCTGGGATTACAAGCATGTGCCACCATGCCTGGCTAATTTTTTGTATTTTTAGGGGGTTTCACCCATGTTGGCCAGGTTGGTCTTGAACTCCCAGCCTCAGGTGATCTGCCTGCCTCGGCCTCCCAAAGTGCTGGGATTACAGGCATGAGCCATTGCGCCTGGCCTCAAATACATTTCTAATAGGTTTTAGCTTTTCTTTACTTCTACCACTTCTTGCACTTGTATCATAGGACGCTTTACTTTTGAAACCCTTGACAACTCGTAATTTCTGGAAGAGACAGACATTCTCTCTGCTTCAAAATTACCATTTTCATTTGTAGATGAGGTACACACACCTACCGTCAGCATCAGTCCACTAATGAACTATCTCAAGTAAATTTTTGCGTCAAATATAGAAGAAAAAGAATTTTGTCACACGTCTCTAAAGCAAAACAAGATGCTCCAAGTTCTTTTTGCAAAATATTGCATGATAAAATCCTTTCTGTTGAATGACTACTTATATGAGAAACCACATTTACTTTTTGTGCTCAGAAATATTTGTTCACTTATCAATTATTGAGTTTGAGAAAAATGATCAAGAATATTGTCATCTGACAACTCATGGTCTGAGATTTCCCTTATATGGTCAATTTCAACATCACTACAGTTTTGGGTGCCACTATCACTGGCTTTACACCATCCCCTGATTCATCTAATAACTGAAACATCTTGTAAACTTCCTGTCATTAGGAGCAGAAAATGA